TAATAGAGATAGTATCGCAACAGGTGAAGAAAGATCCAACCAATCCACCTCTAGTCCTCCATTTCATATTTTCAACACAAATTTGTGGCAGACATGTGACTTACACAACAACAAAGATTGAAGATGACGATGACTTGGATGGAGCCATGAACATCATAGAGGTCAACCCAACTTTAAGATCCTTGGAAATTTGCACAACTTACAACACAGGTATTTCATCTTCCCAACCCAATTATTTTAATCATTCTCATGATCAACAACCCTTACAAACCCAACCCACACATCACTCATTTGACCTTAAGGCCACATATATAGGGGAATGGGAAAATGACATACAATCATACACCGAATTCTTAACCGCTCCATCAACCTCACAACTTCTCCCATCTCTTACATATGTCGACACACAACAGTTCTCCCCTCCTCCTCTACAATAAAATGAAACATTAGGCATACCTTTGTCGTCATTAGACCCATTTAGTGAGGATGAGGATGACATCCTTAGCCAACACGCAGATGAAGAAGAAAACATAGATATCCTTCCTATACAATAACAACCTCATTTATCTCTTCAATACAACCCGTCCCGACACTTCTAGTCCTATGAAGAATTTTCCCAACATGTAGACCAATAATATCCTCATGCATACGACCACTTTAATATTCAATATGACACATTCGAGCATGAACCTAGTACATTAACCCAGGGAATGGGATTCCAAACAAAGGAACAAGTCATAGATCTTTAAACATATTTCATATCACAAACCATTGCACATACAAAATGACACACTCCAACATAACAAGGCTGAGGGTGCAATGTGTCCACCATCAATGTCTGTGAAAGTGTCAAGTCATCCTTTGAACAAGAGATCAAGTATGGGAAATAAGAAAAATTGAAGGGTCTCACACCTGTGCCACACAACTCATTACACAAGATCATAACAGGTTGGAGTCACATATCATTTTCCAACACATTCGTGAGATGGTCGAATCTGACCCATCAACACCAATTGCAACAATCATTGCTTCCATCAAGACCTCACTGGGCTACACAACAACGTATAGAAAGGCTTGGTTGACCAAGTAATAAACAATTAAACATGTTGGAAATTGGGAAGAATCATTCAATAAATTATCACGGATACTATAAGCAATGCAAACATTTCTTCCTGGTTTCGTATAACAACTCAAAAAACTCAGGTCATAACTGATGGCGAGGAGGTTCTGCAAAACGAAAAATATTTCAAAAGAGTATTTTGGACCTTCAAACCATGTGTTGATGGATTTCCCTATTGCAAACTGTTAGTGCAAGTGGACAGAACATTTCTCTATGGGAGATATAAGGACACTCTTCCAGTGGTTATAGCACAAGATAGGAGGAATAACATACTCCCTATTGGTTTTGCTATTGTTGAAGGTGAAACGGCAGAAGCTTATTTTTTTCCCCTTAAAAACCTTAGGGGGCACATTATACCTCAAGAAAACTTATGCTTAATTTCGGATCGTCATAACTCCATCAGTGCAGCATTCAATAGAACGGGAAGTGGATAGACTCAAGGAAATTGTGTGCATGTATTTTACATTCAACATATTGCACAAAATTTCACTCGAAGATTCAAAAATACAACTCTGAAGAAGGTTCTTGTGAACATGGGTAAGTACTTAAAATTCCAAAATTTTATTCAATTATGTGTGATCTTCAATTATTCTTCGTTATATTTAATGAGTATCACTTTATAATTATATTTGCAGCATACGCAATGACTGAGCCAAGATGTAACTATTATTACAATATCATAAGGGAAGAGAACCCAAAAGCAGCAACTTGGATTGACCAAATTCCAAGACATCAATGGGCACTTGCGTATGATGAAGGCAGAAGATGGGGTCAATCCATAACTATCTGACCGAAGCTATCAACTCAGTCTTGAAGAAAACAAGAAATCTATCAATCTCCTCCATAGTATTGGTCACATATACCAGATGCAACACCTTCTTCACAGAAAGATGGAAGCACATAACTACAATGATAAGTGTTGGTCATGTCTATTCTGAAAATGTCACCAAGGTCCTACAAGATGGTGATTCAAAATCAAATACCCACAGGGTAGTTGAATTTGATAGAAATAAGACAAGATTCAGGGTGGAGGAACTCAAGAGAAATACGTTTTCCGGGTACATTTGTTGTTAGGTTGGATGAACAATGGTGATTGAGGAAGTTTCAAAAAATCATATACCTTGTTCTCATGTGTTAGCAACTTGCAAACATGCTCATCATGACTTCAACATGTACATCAGTCCCCACTATAGGTTGGATGTCATCATGAAAATATATGACCATATGTTTGGGGAGTTAAGGCATGAACAATATTGACCACCATATGAAGACTCACAAGTTTCGTCAAATCCAACCACGAGAAAGAGTTCAGAAGGTTGGCCCAAATCAACTAGAATCAGGACTGAGATGGACATCAGGGAAGGAGGACACCCACAAAAGTGCTCATATTTTAAAACATCAAGGCACACAAGAAATCATTGTCCTCACAACCCTGACATTAGAGGATCCATATCCCATCATTAATTGTATTAAATTTTTGTACTATATTTCATCATTCAATAAAAGTTCTATTCAATTACATCTTAATTTTTTTTCTTTTACATTTTAAATATATATTTAATTTAGTCTAAACATATTTTTACTATAAATTATTCTTTAACCATATAATAGTAACTTAAGATAACTGAAATCTATAATAGGAGTGTGACTTTTTGGAACTTATGAGTGGGGTTGTGAGTGTGATAAAAATGAGATAATCATGTTTTTTTTAGTAATCCAAGCAATAAAGACAATGGACTGAATTTTGTAAGACGTTAATATGAATTTAACAAATTATGAAAATCTTAACAATAACACAATTTTATTTTCAAAAATATTACAACACACAAACATAGTGAGACTAACAATATTATACAACATCAAAAAGACTAACATCAACATCAAAAAGACTAATATATATCATCAATTGTTATTAAACTTAGTACAATTAAACTTAATAACACTATTAAAAAATACACTTCAACATTTTGTACTTCTTAATTAATTTATTTCTCCATCTCCTATTATTTAATATTTCAAATAAATTTAATAATACATTAAAAAAAAAACTATTTTACAACATTCAACAATAAATATAAATATATTGTTAATCTAATAAACATATAACTCTTTTTAAAACTATAATTTCAAACTGCACAAATTTTAAATAAAAAGTTATAGTTTTACATATATTTTTTATTCACAAATTTTTTATTTAATGTACCAAGGATTTCAAATATATTAATACATTATTTTTCCTATCTATAACTTATTTTCATTTCTAAAATAATATATATATATATATATATATATATATTCCAAAATATTACAAAACACAAAAAAAAACATTTCAAAAATATAATTTTACATAAAAATATTATTTCAAAAATATAATTTTACATAAAAATATAATTTTAAGATTTTTATTATCCTCCTAATTTATTATTAATTTCTAAAAAAAATATTACATTATCAAATAAATCAAAAAATTAAAAATAATAATCATACAAATAAAATATAAATATAATATTTAATAATATAGTTTAAAAGTATTATTTTACTACTTTCAACAATAAATCTAAATATATTATTAATCTAATAAATATATAAATCTTTTTAAAATTATAATTTAAAACTATAAATTTTAAACAAAACATTATAATATTATCTATATATATATATATATATATATATATATATATATATATTAGTTTTTCTTTCTTAACAAAATAAAAAAAATACAACCAATTCGGTTAAAATTGAAAATCGATTTCTAAATGATTAAAAAAAAAAATACAACCACATTCAAGTTTCATGTACAAGGAATCAAATTCTTAACTAAAAAAACTACTAAACTATGTAGATAAATAAAACTTACAATATACTATTTGAGTAATTAAAAAATAAATATGTGCCACTTGCAAACAAAATTTCCAAATCCTCAATAAACTCAACGGAATTCTTTTAAAATCAGAAATAATTTTTGTAACCAAGTAGTAATTCTAAGATTATTTCATGCTTCATAATTGTTTTTTAGTCACAGCTTTTATAAAAATTTGCCAACATTGGGAGGTCCATTATACAACAACCTCAGCTACCAAAAAAGTTGTGAGACAAGAAGTGTCGTGGAGAGTGAATGCATTTATGGCAACATTGAAGATTGACACCTTAAGAAGACATGGTTTACTTTGACTTTAACTTCACCATCTTACACTCTCTCACATAACTTTTCCGTTCACCGTTGGAACATTATGAAACACCATAATATTAGGTTTAATTACACTTATACTTTAATTGATTTGTTAATTGAATGGACTATCACATTAATACATTCTTGTTGACGTGATACTGTTACATAATAAGCATAGTAGGAAAATCAAATTAAAAATAATGAAACAAAATTTGCAAATTAAGAGAGTGGTGCCCTAGGATTACAATAAAACCTAAATATTATCTTATTCAAAAAGTAACATTGAAGAACTACTTTTGATGACATTGCATTGCCAAATTGCATTGGAAGATAAACACAGGAAAAGAAAGGGTGTATAAGTCATCATTTTGTTTTGGTTCATTGTGTCTTTCTTAGTAGACTCCAATAAGAATTATACATATTCCTTTGCTTTCCATCATATTCTGCCACTGCTTCTGGATACACCACACTGTTTACTTCACCGAGGTTTCTGCCCAAATTGTTGAGGATTAACAACAATCATTGCTCCAACTGAAGAACAACCTCAAATTCAAGCAAGAAAAATCTCACAAACTTGTGTTCTGGAATTCAAGCATAGATTGTTGCCAGTGGAGGGGCGTTACCTGTGATAAGGAGGGACATGTTATTGGCCTTGACCTGGGTGGAGAATCAATCAATGGTGGATTTGAAAATTCAAGTAGTCTTTTCAATATGCAGAGTCTCCAGAAACTGGATTTGTCTGCTAATGAGTTCAGTTGTGAGATACCATCCGGGTTCAGCAAGTTGAAGAACTTAACATATCTGAATTTGTCCAATCTCTCAGGACCCCTTGATCCCTCCCTCATACGACTTCACAACCTATCAATCATTCGTCTTGATCAAAACAATTTATCATCCCCCGTGCCAGAAACCTTTGCTAATTTTTCAAAACTAACAACCCTTCACCTTAGTTCTTGTGAATTGACAGGAATATTTCCGGAGAAGATCTTTCAGGTAGCAACATTGTCCGAAATAGACTTATCATTTAATCCTTATCTTAATGGATCCTTGCCTGAATTACCTCTGAATGGTCCTCTTCAGACACTGATTGTAAGTGGCACAGGTTTCTCAGGATCAATACCAGCTTCTGTAAATAATCTTTGGCAGTTATCCATTATAGATCTTTCTCATTGTCATTTTAATGGAAGACTACCCAGTTCAATTTCAAGACTCAGGGAACTCACTTATCTGGATTTGTCATTTAATAACTTCACCGGTCCGATTCCATCCTTGAATATGTCCTTGAATCTTATACATTTAGACCTCTCACACAATTATTTCACAGGTTCAATCGCATCTATTCATTTGGACGGCCTAAAATATCTGCTCCAAATTGATTTGCAGGGCAATTTCTTCAATGGAAGTCTCCCATCCACTCTTTTTTTTCTCCCATTGCTACGAAGTATACGGCTTTCGAACAACAATTTTCAGGGTCAGCTGAATCATGTTTCAAATATCTCTCACTCCATGTTAGAGATCCTTGATTTAAGTTGTAACGATTTAGAAGGGTCCATTCCTACATATATTTTTTATCTCAGATCACTGAGTGTCCTCAAATTATCTTCAAATAATTTAAATGGCACATTGAAGTTAGATTTAATTCAGAGACTTGAAAATCTAACTACTTTAGCTTTTTCGCACAACAACTTTTCAGTAGACACAAATCTTAGTGATGTAGGCTTTATGTCTTCCTTCCACAAGATGAGGAGAGTTGAGTTGGCTTCCTGCTCTCTAATAGAAGTCCCAACTTTCTTAAGAAACCAATCCAATATAACGACTATAGACCTGTCAAGCAACCATATTCGAGGATCTATACCAACATGGATATGAAAACTTGAATCTCTTCTTCAATTAAATCTTTCTGACAATTTTCTATCACATGTAATGTTGTCAGGGAAGCCATGAAGCTTAAAGATATTGTCCAAGAATGATTGAGCCACCTCTGCAACTGTATAAGGATGAGAAATGTTAGGTAAACATTAAATGCATATAGTTGAGAGGTAGTGGTTATAGAGGTAGTAGTTGAGAGGTAGTGGTTATTGAGGTAGTAGTTGAGAGGTAGTAGTTGTATTGAATGTATGTAATTGAAATATAGTAGTTGTATTAAATGCATGTAGTTGAGAGGCCATATCCAAAGGCCTATAAATTGACCATGTATCACTAATTGCAAATACATCAAATGATAAAATATAGAGTATTTTGTTTAGATACTTGTTTGACAACAAATTGATATCAGAGCTTGAGAGCCTGAGTGTCTGAGTGCATTAGAAAAAATGTTTGAGAGTTAGAGAGTTTGTTCGAGATGACCAACAACATGCCCCTGCCAAAATTATCAAAAGGCATAAGCTATGATAACTGGAGCCTGCAAATGAAGGCTCTCCTTGGTTCCCAGGAAGTATGAGATGTGGTCGAAAATGGACACCAAGAACCAGAGAATATTGAAGAGCAGACGATTGCCCAACTTGCTGCATTGAGAGCAACATGAGTAAAGCACAAAACGACTTTGTACGTATTGTACCGAGCTATTGATGAACCCGACTTTGAGAAGATAGCAAATGCTAAATCTTCAAAAGAAGTGTGGGATATTCTGGAGAAGGCATATAAAGGGGATAATCGCGTGAAGCAATTCAGACTTCAAACTCTTAGAGACGAGCTTGAAAGCATGAGGATGAAAGAGGTCGAAGGGGTTGTCGAGTACATCTCCCGTGTTAAGACCGTGGTGAATCAACTCGGAAGAAATGGAGAGACGCTACCCACTTGCCGAGTGGTGGAGAAAATCTTAAGGTCGTTAACTGACGACTTTGAGAACATCGTTTGTGCAATAGAAGAGTCCAAGGACTTGTCGGTGCTCTCGGTGGAAGAGCTTGCCGGGTCGCTTGAAGCACATGAGCAACGGAGAAGGAAGAAAAAAGAGGAGTCCCTTGATCAAGCACTCCAAGCAAAGGTAACCTTAAAAGAGAAGAAGATTTCTTATGCTCAGAACACTCAAGGCCGGGGTGGTAGAGGCACAGGAGGATATGAAAGAGGTAAGGAGCAAGTCAGTCAACAAAACTGGCGTGGCCGAAGACAAGGTAGAGGTCGTGGTGGTAGAGGCTGAGGTGGTCAGTCAAGCAATTTCGGAGTTGAGTGCTTCAAATGTGGGAAGTACGGTCATTTTGCTAAGGACTGCTCTTTAAGTATCAAATGTTATAATTGTGGGAAGGTTGGGCATTTCGCGAAGAACTGCCGATTTGAGAGCAAGAAGGAAACAAATCTCCTCTCTGAGGACGTTGAGGAAGAAGGAGTGTTGATGATGTCGAGAAGTTCGGATGTCGAGCTAAGTCCGAGCTGTTCTAACAACTCGGTTTGGTATCTTGATACAGGAGCAAGTAACCACATGTGCGGGGACGAGAACCTTTTTAAGGAGCTCCTTAAAGTTGAGGCCAGACACGTGTCATTTGGAGATGCATCAAAGGTGGCAATAAAAGGCAGAGGTACAATCTGGTACTTACAGAATAATAGCCGAGTTGGAGAAATCAGAGACGTGTACTATGTACCCGATCTCAAAAGCAACATATTGAGCATAAGCCAGCTGATGGAGAAAGGCTACTCGGTTCTGATGAAAGATTGAGTACTATACTTAAAGGACAAATCGGATCGTTTGATTGCCCGAGTAGAAATGAATAAGAATAGAATGTACAAGCTGGACTTGAAGATAGTCCAAGAGAGGTGCTTGAAACTTGACGTGAAGGATAAAGTAATGATGTGACACTTTCGGTTTGGCCACTTGCATTTTGGAGGGTTGACCGAGTTGGTAAAGAAAGAGATGGTGCAAGGACTCCTGTCTATGGAATTTGAAAAGAAATTTTATGAAGAGTGTGTGCTCGGGAAGCATCCGAGGACCTCATTTCTGAGGACGGCCGATTACCGTGCAAAGGAACAACTCAGATTGATTCACACAGATCTTTGTGGACCGGTTACCCTTGAGTCCTTCAGTGGGAAAATGTATTTCATTTCTTTTATAGATGATTTTTCAAGAAAAACCTGGGTATATTTTTTGAAAGAGAAATCTGAGGTGTTTGAGGTGTTCAAGAGATTTAAAACAATGGTTGAGAAAAAGACTAACATGCCTATAAAATCTGTTAGGTTTGATCGAGGAGGCGAGTTCATTTCATCCGAACTCATGAAGTATTGTGAGGAGCAAGGGATAAGGAGATTTCTGACAGCACCATACTCACCCCAACAAAACGGAGTTTCCGAGAGGAAGAATCAAACCATTCTTGACATGGTTCGAACAATGTTGAGAAGCAAAAACGTGTCAAAGGAGTTCTGGGCAGAAGCAGTGCAATGTGCCATCTTTGTGCAAAATAGATGTCCACATGCTAAGCTGAACGAGAAGACACCGCAAGAAGTCTGGAGTGGAAGAAAACCGAATGTGTTTCACCTTAAAATGTTCGGTAGCATAGCTTATGGTCATGTTCCAGCTCAACAGAGGACCAAGCTCGAAGATAGAAGCAAAAAGTACGTGTTTATTGGGTATTGATGAAAAAACCAAGGCGTACAGGTTGTTTAACCTAATAACTAAGAAGGTCATTATGAGCCGAAATGTTCAAATTGATGAAGAAAGCGAGTGGAGTTGGAACAACCCGGAGAAGGATTCCATAGGAAGTAGAAGCTCGGAAGTTGATACACCACATACTGTGAGAGATCATGAGACTTCTAATGAAGAAGATGAACCTTTATAGCCTAGAGCGCGAAGTTTACAAAATATATACAACTCCACTGACGAAGTGCATGTTGTATGTCTCTTGGCAGATTCAGAAGACTTAAGTTTTGAAGAGGCCGTGCAGGAAAAAAGGTGGAGAAAGACAATGCACGAGGAGATCGGGGCAATAGAACGCAACAACACATGGAGGTTGACTGATTTGCCCAAAGGAGCGCGGCCTATCGGCGTAAAGTGGGTATACAAGAAGAAGACAAATGCTGAAGGAGAAGTTGAGCGATATAAAGCTCGACTCGTAGTGAAGGGGTACAAGCAGAAGAAAGGAATAGACTATGACGAAGTATTTGTCCCAGTGACGAGAATGGAAACAATTAGGCTGCTGATTTCCTTAGCAGCTCAACACAGATGCACAAGCTACAGATATGTTCACGAAGCCACTATCAACCACTCTATTCGAGAACAGCAAGAAGATGATTGGAATGAAGGACAAGAAAATCATTTAAGTTTATGGGGGGATTTTGTTAGGTAAACATTAAATGCATATAGTTGAGAGGTAGTGATTATAGAGGTAGTAGTTGAGAGGTAGTGGTTATAGAGGTAGTAGTTATATTGAATGTATGTAGTTGATATGTAGTAGTTGTATTAAATGCATGTAATTGAGAGACCATATCCAAAGGCCTATAAATTGACCATGTACCACTCATTGCAAACACATCAAATGATAACATATAGAGTGTTTTGTTTAGATACTTGTTTGTCAACAAGAAAGACCTATAAAGTGAGCTGCTTTACTCAGTCTATCACTACCACATATATCACTTGCTTTCCAAATGATTGAGGTAAATCATCTATGAAGTCCATAGTAATATGCTGCCATACATGGTTAGGGATAGGTAAAGGTTGAAGGAGACCAGGGTAAGCGGAAGTATCATGTTTACATTATTGACAAATAGTACAAGCTTGAATAGAAGCCTTCACATCATTAGTAAGTCCTTTCCAATGCACAACTGCTTTAACCCTTTTTATTGTTACATCTCTTCCAGAATGGCCACCAACAACAGAGCTATGTAACCAATGTAGGATATCAGACCTCAGCTGCAAATCTTTCCCTATTACCAATTTACCTTTTCTTCTGAGTTCACCCCTCTGCCAAAGATAATGCTGATGCCTAGCAGCATTGGATTCCAGCTCTTGAATCAATTTGACAATTGCAGGATCAGTAGACCAAGACTTTATAATCCTAGCCAATAATACTGAAGCAGGTTGCATTGTCACTACAGCATTACAAGAGATCTCTTCCCTCCTAGAAAGAGTGTCAGTAGCAACATTTTCCTTTCCTTACCGATATTTTATGTCAAAATCAAACTCCATCAACTTGACTAACCATTTCTGCTGAAAAGAAGTAGTCCATCTCTGATCTAGTATAAACTTCAAGCTCCTATGATCAGGTCTTATAGTGAACTTCTTGGGCAGTAAGTAATGTGTCCATTTTTTGACAGAAAACACCACAACAAGGAGTTCCTTTCCATATGTAGAGAAAGATTGTTGTTGCCTGTTCAAGGATCTACTTATGAATGCTAGAGGGTGATGCTCCTGCATGAGTACAACTCCTAATCCAGAACCACTTGCATCAACCTCCACCACAAATATCTTGCTAAAGTCAGCCAAAGCAAGAACTAGAGCCTTAACCAAGTTGTTCTTAAGCTTCTGAAAAGCATCCTTAGCATGTTGAGACCAAGAGAAACTGTCTTTTTTCAGCATATCAGTGAGTGGTCTAGCAATAATCCCATAATGCCTAACAAATCTTCTGTAGTTACATGCAAAACCAAGAAACCCTCTCAGCTGCTTCAAAGTTTGAGGCAGCAAGGGTCATTGCTGCACTGTTTGGATTTTAGTTGGATATGTAGCTACGCCTTCCTTGGAGATAAAATGTCTTAGATACTCCACTCTAAATACACCAAAGTAACATTTGGATCTCCTAGCAAACAAAGACTCCTTTCGCAAGGTTAATAACACCTGTTCAAGATGCTACAAATGATCTTCCAAACATCTGCCTTGGAAGAAAAATTGCATAGATAATTTGTTGAAATTCCAGGTAATATCACCAAGTGTCACCAGCCATTCAACT